CTATGTAATAAAAGCCAGACATCAGGGCAGCTGTGGCATCAACAATGAGTGAGCAAGTGCCACCAACTCCAGCGGCAATGTCTTTGAGGACAGTGGGAGTGGCACAGAGAGTGTCCAGAGGGAAAGCCATGATGTGAAGGAAGAGGCCACCAGGGACACTAAGAATCCTGTAGATGAGGCTCAAGGTGTTCTGGAAGATCCTATGTAATAAAAGCCAGACATCAGGGCAGCTGTGGCATCAACAATGAGTGAGCAAGTGCCACCAACTCCAGCGGCAATGTCTTTGAGGACAGTGGGAGTGGCACAGAGAGTGTCCAGAGGGAAAGCCATGATGTGAAGGAAGAGGCCACCAGGGACACTAAGAATCCTGTAGATGAGGCTCAAGGTGTTCTGGAAGATCCGGACAAAGCCCATGACGATGTTTGCTGCGACCTTGGCCACATCCCTGGGGATGTTCACTAGCACTGTGCTGATTGCTGTGACATAGGTCACCACTCCATTCCATACGCTGTAGAGTCGGCCCATCACTATGTTGCCGAACTGCTTGATGACATACCACAGGAAAGAACACGTGTATCTCACCACCTCCACCAACACATAGACAATGATTCTCAGCAGCTTGGTGAAAGGTATCGCAATGATGCTGGCGATTCGTCTCAGCAGGCTGGCCTCCCCACGCTTCTCGTTGGCCCTCTGCCCTTCTCCAAGTTCCCCGGCTACAGTCTGCAATATTGGCTCTTCTGATTGGATCTGGTTTATGCTTTGCAATATGGCTTCCATTTTGTCCTGGCTTTGATTGCCTCCCCCACAGTTGCTTTTAAACAAGCGAGCTCCTGAAGGAAGCTGCTTCTCCAGCTCTTCCACAGACAGGTCTTCTATACTGTTTTCATCACTCCTGCGTTTCACAAATCCCACAGACCACGCCTCGGGAGCATCACAGCAAGCTGCCAGCCAGAGAAACTCTGGTACCGACACCTTGTCTTTAATTCGGAGGGTCGAAGGAACAGCACCTACTACAAGATACAGGCGAGCCCCGTTTTCACAATGTGGGGCCACAGCTTGCTTTACTATATGCTCAACATCCCTATGCCAGCTTTTGCTGAGAGATGGAGTCATAGGGACAGCATTAGTAAGAGTGTACGTAGCTAGCTGGAAATCAGCCTCATTAAGGGACCCAAGGTTTAGCTGCCCTCTCTCATAACCAGAGTCCACATAGTCTGTGATCAGGGCTTGGTTTGCTCCAAGGTTATTCACTGAGCCAACAGTATCAGCTTCATGCACCATTTCCTTCAAGTCATTTCCAGGATCATCTAGCTGAGACATAAAAGAGAACAGTTACTGGGTTAGACTTGCTGCACAGGACAAAGCTATATTCACAATACGCATGAAAGTGAACTTATATCACACTCACTGACATGGCCAGGCCCACAGATGATATGAATGTGCCCCTCTTTTTAATTTTAGTTGTAGCTTTACAGATTAATAAGTGTATGGCTAAAAGGAATTTTAATTATTTGGTCTCATCTCCTGCATAACACAGGCCAAACCATTTCACCCAGTAATTCCTGCATCGAGCCTGTTAATTGTGGATGAGCTAGAATATATTTGTAAGAAAGGCATCCAGTCTTAATGTAAATACTTCAGGTGATGGAGAATGGACCACCCCACTTGGGGGCAGCAGACAGAGCCTGTATGTCCCCAGCTATTCTATGCTGTATGTGTGGTACACTCATTTTTGAAATTCCTGTGCTAGGAAATCTGAGCTAGCAATTCCTGTGTCAGGCATTCTTGCAAGGAGTCTTTCTTGGAGTGACAATGAGTCATGCAAGCAAATTAACAAGCAGGAGCTGATAGTACTGAGCATAGCCGAAGCAATGTAGGATACTACAGCTCTGTCTGTTCACCTAGCATTCTTTTTGGACATTTTCTACATCCTTTTAGAAATTTAAACTGCATGGCCCAAAGTGTGCCCTAAATCATAGAATCATAGGACTGGAAGGGACCTTGAGAGGTCATCGAGTCCAGCCCCCCACCCTCAAGGCAGGACCAAGCTCCGTCTACACCATCCCTGACAGATGTCTATCTAACCTGTTCTTAAATATCTCCAGAGAGGGAGATTCCATCACCTCCCTTGGCAATTTATTCCAATATTTGACCACCCTGACAGTTAGGAATTTTTTCCTAATGTCCAATCTAAACCTCCCTTGCTGCACTTTAAGCCCATTACTCCTTGTCCTGTCCTCAGAAACCAAGAGGAACAAATTTTCTCCTTCCTCCTTGTGACACCCTTTTAGATATTTGAAAACCGCTATCATGTCCCCCCTTAATCTTCTTTTTTCCAAACTAAACAAGCCCAGTTCATGAAGCCTGGCTTCATAGGTCATGTTCTCTAAACCTTTAATCATTCTTGTCGCTCTTCTCTGTACCCTTTCCAATTTCTCCACATCTTTCTTGAAATGTGGCGCCCAGAACTGGACACAGTTCATACTCTATGCAGTTCATACTATATGCAGCCCAAATGGGCTTTTGTATTTAGACAGGCTTCCTTGGGCAGGATAGTTCCAACCAGTGTTCCCGCTACATTTTTCTTGCCATCTGTGTAATAAATTTTATGTGCAACAAGGCACACGTGGATGTACACCAGGGGTGGACAATAATTTTTGATAGGGGGCCACTCCAAGATTTTGGAAAGTGGTCAAGGGCCGCACTCTCCCATGATATTAATGGAGATGCAGGGTATGGCATGGTAATTAGGTCCAGAAGGGAGACTGGGGTAAGGGCCTGGGGTGCAGGAGGGGGACTGGAGTCTGGGAGGGAGCTGGGATGAAGCAGGCGGTTGTGACCTAGGGCAGGGGACTGGAGAGCAGGGGTTTGGGATGTGACCTAGAGTAGGAGGGGATTGTGATCTGGGGCAGGAGATTGCCAGATCTGGGAGAGGGTATGGGTGTAAGAGGGAGGCAGAGGGTTTGGGTATGTTGAGTGGGTGGGGGGAAGGAAGAGAGTTAGGGCAGGAAAGAGCTGGGGTGCGAGAAGCAGGCTCTGGCCAAGAGACTTACTTGTCAGCTGCCAAACTAGCCTGCCTCCCTGCAGAGCTTAAAATGTTTCCCAGCCAGCCTGCCTGCCTGGCCATGTACTTAATGAATAACTGAGCCCAGGAGAGGGGGTGTGATTCTTCTTAGATGCCTGTTATTCTAACATTCAGCTCGCATTAGCTGGTTTCTGCCAGAAACTGACCAATGTGAATGTGCTGGGGATGGGGTGGCTCCTAAAACTTCCCCCCTCCCCTCCAGTTTCAAAACAGAAATGGAGACTTGCAGCCGCGTCTCTGCACGGTGCACAGGGCTGCGGGGCAAGCTGGGGAAGCTGCTTGGGGCTCCCCACTGCCTCCACGGGCCGGACCCGGTGGCTTGGTGGGTCGGATTTGGCCCATTAGCTGGATTTTGCCCAGGCCTAGTGTACACCTTTGGTAGAAACACATGGTGCCAAGCTGGGTGGCATTTAAATCTCTCCTGGGTGGCCGCCCAAGTGCTCAGGGTACAGGGAACACTGGTTCCAACCATTTGTGATCTTAGCGTCTTATACATGTATTCCATCATTCATCTGTCTCTGTTTTATTTCTTGACTTATTTAAGTTCTAAGAATTCTACATAAACCATACGAATTGCCAAAGAGGATCAGATCTCTGGTCCACCTAGACCAGTAACCAAAAGTGCCTAGAACCAAATGCTTCAGAAGAAAGTTCAAGAAGTTCCATAGAAGGCTGATATGGGGTAATTTGCCCCTACTCCCCCTCTGAATGTCTCACCTTAATAATCAGACATTGGTTTACAGTTAAGAACTATGGGGTTTTATATTCTTTCCAAATTTTTTATTAGCATGCCATTAGCTATTATAGCCAGGTGTTCTTGTTTGCCATATAAATGTACAATTCCTCTTCGAATCTTGCTGAATTCTTGCTCCTGGTGACATCCTGTGACAATGAGACCAATTGTCTGCTCTGGATCTGCAGCTACAAGTACAGGATTTAGGGTTCATTCATTTTGATAGCAGACTGATACGGTTGTTGAAGGATATCAATGATAATGTGGAGGCAGCGGTGAGAACATGCAGAGAGTTGGGAAGTTGGTTTAGAACGAGTAGCAGCATGACACAAGGAGATCCAATATTGCTGAGTATCTTCATCACGCACCTAGAGAGAGCGATGGACAAGATCAAGGAAGAGGTAGAAGGGATATCAGTGCATGGGATGAGAATTAACAACTTGAGGTTCAAGGATGATATAGTTATCATCAAAGAAGATGAAGAGAAGCTAGTGAGAATGGTGCAGGTGCTAAATGAGGAAGGGAAGCGGTATGGACTGATTATGAATATTGATAAAATGAAGACAATGGTATTTGGAGATAAGGAAATAGGAAGGAAGATCAGTGTAGATGGGATCGAACAAGAGAACGTAAAGAAGTTCACATATTTGGGGAGCAACATGACGTATGATCTAAACTGTAAGAAGAAAATAACAACTAGAGTAGTGAAAGCAAGAGCAAGTTTGAAGGTGATGGATAAGATCTGGAAAAGTAAAGCAATTAGCTTAGAAACAAAGCTGAGCATCTTAAAAATGTGTGTATTTAGCAGCATGTTGTATGGATGTGAGACATGGGTGATAACGAAAGATTCAAAGAGAAGGATATTGGCGTTCAAGAGGAGTTGTTATAGAAAGATCCTGAGAATACGATGTATGCAGAAGGTCACTATCAAGGAATTATATAGGAAGATACAGCCAAAAGAGAACCTACTGCAGTAGGTTATATAACGGAAGTTACAGCTATTCAGGCATATCTGCAGAATGAATAACGAGCAAAAAGTTAAGACTCTGGTATTCGGCATTAATGGATGGTTCAAATGGGAGAGGCAGACCTCACAGAGAATTGATAGAATTGATAGATTGGTGCAGAGCTAGTCTACAGAAACTAAGCCAGTCCACACTGGACAGGGAAAGATGGAAGGAAATAGTGAGGGAGGCATCAGACACCAACGGGCGTTGAGCCCGTGGTTGTTGATGATGATTTTGAATCTATTGTTCCAAAGGTAAAAATATCAGAGCAGGCAAGTTAGGCTGCAGCTAGTAACACTGCCTCCCACCAATATTAGCCTTGGGTATGTCTACACTACCACCCTAGGGTGATAATGTAGGCAACCGGAGTTGCAAATGAAGCCCGGGAAATTCAAATCCTGGGCTTCATTTGCAACTCCGGTTTCCTACATTAACCACCCTAGTTCGAACTAGGGTGGTTAATGTAGGAAACCGGAGTTGCAAATGAAGCCCGGGAAATTCAAATCCTGGGCTTCATTTGCAACTCCGGTTTCCTACATTAACCACCCTAGTTCGAACTAGGGTGGTTAATGTAGGAAACCGGAGTTGCAAATGAAGCCCGGGAAATTCAAATCCTGGGCTTCATTTGCAACTCCGGTTTCCTACATTAACCACCCTAGTTCGAACTAGGGTGGTTAATGTAGGAAACCGGAGTTGCAAATGAAGCCCGGGAAATTCAAATCCTGGGCTTCATTTGCAACTCCGGTTGCCTACATTATCACCCTAGGGTGGTAGTGTAGACATACCCCTTTTCATGCAGCTGCTGTGCTTACCAGGCCCTGACAGTGCTGCCTTTCTCTTTAACAGGACCCTAGAAAGGCTGTCTCCGGAACCATTTAAAACACAGACGCAGGTAATGTTGCAGAACTCTCAAGGTCCATAAAATAGTCAAAATGAAGCTGCACTCATTTAGGCTACAGCCACACAGCAAAGCTATTTCGGGATACTCCCGGTATCCCGAAATAGCTATTCCGCATTTTAAGAGCAAGCCAGTTATATCGAAATATAATGGGCTCACTATTCCAACGTCCCTGTAAACCTCATTGCACGAGGGCTAAGGGATGTTTCGGAATAGTGCCTTATTTTGAAATTACCTCCAAATAAGTTATGCAACCTGTGTAGAACACATTGCGTAGCTTATTTCGAGGGAAGGGTGCTGTGTAGACGCACCCTAATTAGAGTGCTGACCCCTGTAGCTGTCGTTGGTATTTGTCTGGCCCCAAGTACCATAGTATTGAAGTACTTCACAATCTTTAAGGTAATTTTAATCTTCTTCAGGTCCCTTCTTCAGACCCAAAAAAGATCTTTGTAAAATTTGAGTGCTCAGGCATTGGTCCAATAAAAGAAATTACGTCACCCACCTTGTCTCTCCTATGCTTCAACTATACTAAAGACAATCTTTATGGTACTACTTTAATGCCAAATGACAGCCTCCCTCCAGACAGGG